TCATTCTCCTTCTCATCTCTTCTTATCTACCTATTAAATTAAAGAAAAAAATTTTTTTTATTTGAATTTTTTCTAGGACTTTTCTATTTTTCTTCTATATGATTTTTCAGATATATATGAGATACATATGAGATTTCAAATATTTAAATATGTATATAATAAGAAAAATATATTTACCCAAATATTGACATCAATATTATTAATTCCGTTATCGGCATCTTCGATATTGAAAATAAGCACGAAAATGTCACATAAATATACCAGTATTATCTAACCAAGAATTAGAATCTCCTATATATAAAAAAAAGCAATAAACCATGTAAAACGAGATACAATTATCGTGATAAGTTTTTAAAAATTTTGGAATACTTATTCCAATAAAATTAAAATAAAATAATATTGAAATATGAAATATATGAAGTATATGTCTCTGTGAAAGAACATATAAATAATGTAAGTCAAGATGATAATCAAAATACGTTTACATAATAAGAAAAATTCTATTACCTGCGAGAAAAAGTAGCATCCAAGGGTGATTCATTTTTAAGTGTTTGCGATTAATGTTATAATGACAGCTTTTGTCGACGATAAGCTCGATGATGACCTCAGGACGTAAACGCTGTATTTCAAACGATGAAAATATGTTAGTGACAAAATCTTAAAACGAAATCCACGAAAAAATTGTTTATTTTGCCATTAGATATCAGAAAATCTTGATAAAATGTAAGTAGTATGCATCTTGAATAATGTCACTATATTACATAAATCCCTTTCTTTCTCGTGATTAATATTTCACGATGTTTTAACTGCAACATTTAATTGCAATTTAAGATAAAACTAAAAGATTAAAACTTTTAATAAATATATTTTCATTAGCGATACTATTAAAACGCGGCCCGTTTATATTTTATCTTCATATAATAATATAATAATATAAATTTATATCGTATATAAAAATAAAAATATATACATAAAATGCAATCAGTTATGCAGTCTTAAAAATTATAAAAATTATTAAAAATTTTCGATCTACATATATGAATGTTTTGAAAGATCGAAATGGAAGTAGCACTACAAGTAAAAAAATATGAAAAATGATTTTGAAATATCTGGATTTAACATTGGTAATTGATCAACCGAGAGTAATCGGATCAAATATTATAAACAAATAATAAAGACGTAGAGAGAGATTCACTGCAGGTGATTACTTACCCTTTACAGGTGAGTGTCGAGAAGCGAATGATAATCTTGACAAGTACCGCTACTTCTAGATATCTCATCCCCACTATCCAAGATTATCTCTCCCACCCCCGACGCACGCAAACGCTTTGTCGTTTCGATATAGCGACGTCTGCAGAACGTTACATCACGAATATTAATTATTAACATTGATGAATGATCGAATCCATCGAATTCAAGCAAACACACATCTGTGTATATTTTTGGGAAAATGAAAAAGTAGGTCAGATAAATGATTTAAGATGAAGTGCTTTTATTTTATTTGTTTTTTTAGCACTAGAAGAGAATTAATGCGCGAACTTCAAAATTAAAATACATTAAATATTATTTCTCTGGAGAATAATTTGCAATTAAACCAGTCTACTTTAATTCTACGTGAATATTAATCTAAGAACGATAATGTAAAGGATATCGACAAGCAACATCGCGTAGTGCCTCCCTTGTGAAACATTTGTGCGATAGGGCAATAATTGCGCTGAAACATATGAAAGAAATATATATTTAATAAACCTCTCATCCATCCGAGGAACAAAAATAGCATTTTGTTAAAACTCTGACAGAATTTAAACATATTTAAAACATTTCGTCTGATTCTCAGTTGTTATAAATTTTGCTAAGTAAAATGTTATAAATTTTGCTAAGCTTACACTTTTTATAAACACTTCTTATTTTTCTAATTTTATTAATATTTTTATTATTCTAATTTTTCATTTTGTTAATATTTACAGTTTGACAATCCTGTCAGAAGATTATTGTTTTATCATTGAAACCTTTACAATAAACAAATTTTTATTTTATTTCTCATTCTTTACTTTAGAAAATAACTGGATGCGATGGAAAGTTGAGTAACGGTAAGCATGCTCTTGTTAATCGGAACGATTCGAACTGGGGTAGTAGACGATTCTTTCTCGGCGCTTGTACTCTGTTTCGGGGATTGACATTTCACACTCGACAACAGCGGGGTCTAATGTGTCCTCGACGACAACGTCTAGTGACGTTCGGAGATCACCCTTGTACCAGTCCGTTGAGGATTTCCGATTGTTGCTCCCGCGGCCGTTGCTCTCGATCCCTTCGATGTAGAACTTTAAGAACGGCCGTGGTCGTGCGCCCGTGACCACACACGTTAAATTCATGTGAGTCCTGTTGAAGGGATAAATACGCACCATCATGTCGTTCTCCGGTACTTAAAGAGAAAACATAATCGTGAATTCAATGATAACAATCAACTGCCGAACTCAAACTAAAAAAATTTCGAATCAAATCCTCTCATATAAACTTACTATAAACAATCATTTTTGACGAATTGCTCGCTTCGTCCTGAAATGTACTGATTGCGCACGTGTATTCTCCTGTCATGTCCATCGTAACAGTCTTCAATCGTATCACCGAATGCGAATACGGGTTCTTCAGAATTTCAGCTGGATATTCCGCGAGTCCTTCGATGATTCCGATATCTTGCGGTGGTACTTGTGGCAAAAATATTCTCATTATAATATATCGAATTTAGATTGAAATATATGTAATAACACTTGGAAAACAAACTGGATTTATTAAAAGTTATTATGCATAGCCCAAAAAAATGAAATTTTTGGGGAATTTTTTTTTTTTAGAAACACTCAAAGATTTTTTTCGCAAGTAATATAGTATTTAAAAGTACATATATTTTACAACTTATACAAATTTTTTCAAGGTATAATATTGAAAAACACACGAACAGGCACTCTTGCGAAAGATGTTTTTTTGAAAGTGCTTTGCGATGAGCACAATTTCTCGAAACTGGCTCATCTGGATCATTCAGAAATTCAAAAAGATTTCGTTAGTATATGCTTTAATCTTGTCCTTGAATGATCGATTTTTTTTTTAATTTCATTTTGAATAAAATGGTAGCCGTTAAATAAAAAAGTATGATTTTTATATGACTAAATTTTTGTTTTTTGTCAATTAAAAACAAAAATTTCATTAGAAAAAAAATCAATTGTTCAAGGACAAGTATTTGATATAAAAGAATTTGGTATAAAAGAAATCTGCAAAATTTTAGCCCGATTGGTGCAGCGGTTCCCGAGATATTTTGCTCATCGATTCGTATGTTTGAAAAAAATTTGATTTCGAGAAAAACGCAATTAAAGTTTCAGCTTCAAGTTCTCACGTAAGTGAAAAAATACTTTTATTGTGCAAGTCGAACTCTTGTGCTATCGATCAAGCCTATTTAGAACTTGATCGGTTTAGCTGTTATTCCGCTGAAATCCGATAATTTCGGATACTTGCTGAAATTACTATCTCGCCGACTCGCGTAAAGTCACATGGTAGTGTTCTCGGTTAACTTGACACCCGAGACACTACCGTGTCTCCTGATATTATTTTTCAACTTACTCAGAATCATCTATTCCAGGCCCATAAAGTAAGCCTTCTACTACTGAAGCTGTCTCCAAAATATCAATTTACCCATTAATATTAATTCCAGTTTTATACAGAAAGGACCTTGCCTCGGCAGTTACGGCGTGCTAAGTACTTTGTGCAGCGTACCTTTCAAACTCATATAATTTTAATTCAAATCACTTTAAACTTTCAGAAAATATTCTTTAGATGGTATAGTTTACGAAAATAAATATTTTCAAAAATCGATTTTTTCGACCTATACAACTGCATATAATCCCTTAAAGAGATATTCCCTTATTTCTTGGAAATTAAATATTGCATTTTTTTAATTCTGATAAAAATATGAACTATTGAGATAATGAAAAAAATAAAAAATTATAATTCGTATATTTGTGAGTTGTTTCTATACAAAATTAGCTAAAGATAAATTTTTTTAATGCAAAATATATTCTTGTTATTTTCTTGTAAAAATTAGGTATTTAAACAATACTAGCATAAATTATTATATTAACAAAATTGAGTCATTTATATATTTGTAGTTTTCTAGACCTGTTTGATTTATATTTTTTTTTTCTTATTTTTCTTATAAGTTTTAAATTTAAACATACTTTATATTATTTTTATTTCTAAAATGTTCAATATTTTAATTCTGCAAAATTTGTTTGATGTGTAAAAATATATGTTCTACTTTATTTATTAAATGTTTATTAAATTAATTTACTTCATATTTAATCAATCTACATAATTTAACTTAACTAATTTTTTGTACTATATTTCCATATCTTTAATTTATTATATTATTATATTATTATATTATATTATTATATTATTATATTATTATATTATATTATTATATTATTATATTATTATATTATTATATTGTTACCCTGTCATTTACAATCACAGAGGTATTTCATGCATCTGAATTCTGGCACTGTTTACTATTTCACTGTTTACTATTTTGTCACGGGGACTCAATTTCTCAAATGTTTATTTTTGTTTATTTTATAGGAACGTTAATTATTCCAAAATTCGAAACAGTATTATAAAAACTGCTGTTTGATAAAAGACATTAATTTATACCTATGTTTTCAAAATTTTATTTTTAGCTTTTGTTTATAAGAAATGCAATCTAAAACAAAAAAATATATGTCGGTATCAGCGACTTTCCTCTAAAGCTAAAAATCTCTGGCCTCGTATTATATTTTTCTCAGAAAATATTAAAATAGATTCTTAGAGATTTCTTGTAATATCTTTAAATATTTATAATTATTTATAATTATAAACAAATTTTAAGGGCTAACTTAGATTCTGAGTATCCGCAGTTGCGAAAAGTTATTATAAATTATAGATAAAATTATCTAGTTAAGAATCAAAGTATCTCCTTTTATGTGCACCGATCTGACGCAAGCGAGCTGAACGGGACGCCACGATTGATATTTTAATTTTTTTTGCTTATTAGAATATCACAGTATGCTAACACGGAGCTGCGACATTTCTCTCCCCATCATACGATATCCGCGCGACGTTTCAATACGCGACAGTTCCGATGTAACGAAGTCCGCCGATGGGTAAATTTAATAACGCGCAGATCCGCACAACCAACGTGTAAGTTATAATAGGGTCGCGTGGGCGGTAAAAGTATAAATTACTTGGCGGAATCCACTGATAGATCTGATACGCTTCGTGAAACCATTTGATTACGAGTCCGTTCTCGTCCTCGTCAATCTCGTAGATGCAGATCAGGTCCACCGGTCCTGTGCCGTTGCGCACGACGAGCGGCACATCCAGGGATCTGATTGAGGAACCATGGGCACCTGCGAAACATTTTTCGACAATACAATTTCAGATCGACGATATGTCTTGTGTCTAAGTTCGCGCGTTCCTATAATCAAAGATTACTTTAATAAGCTATAGAAATAACTCATTCAATTATGGTTCGTAAATAAAAACTAAAAGTTTCAAAATTTTCTCAGCTTGCTGCGATTTTTGTTTGAGTTTCGTTACATTAACTGTTTTAAAAACAACTACAATTTCTCGGATTGTATCGCATTACTACTGAATTACTACTGAATCGGCGTCAAGCGCGTTCAAAATTTTTGCTAAGAATCAAGAAGAGGGGAACGATGAAACTTCTGAGCCGCGGGAGAACGAATGGCAGATAACACACAGACGTCGAATGAAAGTCAACGGAAATTTTTTTAAAGAATAGGCGTAGCTCTTATATCTTGCGTATCTTGTATTTTCTTGGAGAATACTGCCCCGCCGTGTTCATCCCCGCGTTGCAGATTATATCCCGATTAAACGCTCACGAAATTCAAGATAAATTTCATCACCGACACCTTCCGTTCGAATAGGCGCGTGAATCTCGCGAATCGTCGCGACCGCACTTACTCGAATAACATTCGAATAATTGAAGAACGATTATCGAGAGCGAGACCGTGCGTGCTATCGACGGCATTCTTTCCCCAAGGTCCCTTTTCACACTGGTGCACAATTAAATACGGCTCGCCTAACTCATGTTACACGCCATAGCCGATACGATTCTGCGCAGCGTGTCATGTATTGCCTCTCGTATCCTACACACGCTCCGTACGCTCCATACGCTGCTTCTTGCTGTCTCGCAAAAAAATAAACGGTAAATTCGATAAGAAGAGATCCCTGATAATCAAGGAATACAGACTCTTTATTTTAGCAAGTTACATTTAGTTATTTTAGTCGAACTTTATATATGTTTAACGCGCCACGTAATTTCATTTCAATATGTACATATGTACATATCAAGAATAAAGATGTTTTTAAAAGACGAGAATGTCTTTTTTTTTCTACGTGTTTTTCCTTTGAGAGATTTTGTACGCGATACCTTTTAGAAGGCAAACCAGTCGACTCTGCGAAATAAAAACAAAAAATAAAAAGGATTGATGAAATTACAAATTGCTTTTTAACATTTTGTTTACGTTATTTTCTGTTATTTCAATTTGCATTTCTTAAAAGCTTCGTTCCATCACTTCTGTGATCGTTCCATCATTCTTCCCTTCTGTCGTTTTTTCCTTGCTTTGCCTCGATCCTTTTTTATTGCCAGAATAGTTACGTGATCAAAAAAAGAACTCGCAAGAAGTTTATTAGTTTCGTAAATTTGTCGGTGAATTAGTATCTTCTTAATTCTATATGAAAAACTGTCTTGTCTTTTTTTGTATCTATTAAAGTACAAAGAAGAAAATTTAAGATGTTTAAAGATTCTTGGTAAAAGTTAAATTTTTATTTATATATATATATATATATATGTATGAATAAAAATATATGTAAATATATGTAAATATATGTAAATATATATAAGAATAAACAATTCAATAAAAATAAATTCATACATCGTTTGATAAAATGGACTTTAAAATAGAATAATGATAACATTTGATACAAAACATACAGAAAATAAAATTAACGTGTTAAAAATAAAATTAAGTGAATCGTAAAATTTGTCTCTACATTACGTTTTTATTTTACAGCTATGTTTCGTTCTTAATTGCAAAATTATTATATTAATTTTACAATTTATATAGAAAATCAAAAACTAAATCATTGAGAAATAAAAAAAAACAAAATAATTTCTTAAACAATTTGTCAACAAATAGGCAATAAATTTGACAATAATTTAATATTAAAATAAAAAAAATCAATATATTATTTATATTCGCATATAAAAATGTATTTAAACAATTAATTAAATACAAAAGAGGATTAGATCCAAAAATTTTCTAATATTAAGTAAATGTAATTAATTAAAATATTATACCTTTGATTTGAAGAAATATTTTGTGAATTTACAAAGTTGTTATTTAATATTTGTTTTAATATTACCAACAAATATAAGAAATGTTTACTTGAAATTTTATTTTTTTATTTTAATATTTGAAAATTCTAAGCTAAATAACGTTTTCTCAAAAGTATATTGCACTCAAAAACGCTAATTTAATTTTTTTTAATACAATAAAGTGTAAATAATCAAATGTATATGTATATATTTTCTCGCTTCCCCGAAAAGATATGCAACAGGTCTAGAGATGGCGCGCACATCTACACTTTTATGTAAAGACACTATAATCAGAGACTGGCCACGAAAAAGCATCTTTTGATTGGTCCGCCATCTTTTGGCTATTCTCCCTTATTTTCAAATACATTAACTACATTAATTTTAAATTGTAATATTATAATTTAAAAACATAAGCGTTTTAAAGGTAATAAAATGTGTATATTTATAAAACTTTATTTTACATAATTATATTACCAATTTATTAATATATATATATATATATATATATTATTTTTTTTAATTTTAACGTATTTAAATTTATTTTATTTTTTTCGTCTATTTATTCTTTTTAACTACAAGAGCAAAATTAATATAATACTTTATACTACTGTTACACTATAATATTTTTAATTTTTTATATACTAATTTTCAAACGATCCCCTGTGAAATCAATACATACGACAGCTATTCACAAAGTTAGCGCAGCGAGAGAATCGCGGAAAAGTTTTTGTTAACAATAAACTTCGAGGAAATTTCGAGAGATGCAAGTATCGATGTCATGCCTTTTTTAGAAAGGATTATTATACATATTTATTATTATTATAAACAAACTTTATTACAATATAAAATAAAATTTAAGTAAAAAAATGAACATCCACCATTTTTTATATTGATTTATCACAATTAATTAATTTATGATTATATTTTGCAATTTTAGTATCTCTATTATTTAATAATATATTATCATGCTTTCCACATGTTTAATACACATGCACAATACACTTAAATCAATGCACATGCAAAGTAAAAAATATCGCTATTGGTTAGAGTGAGATGGTGTATATTTCTTTCTTTTTCGTAGGATTTAGTCAAAACATGGCGGATCAGAGTCTCTGCTTGGTGGATCAGAGTCGTGACCAATTTCTGATTGTAGTATCTCTATACTTATCTATATTCAAAAAGGACTCTATTGTAAGCTGCACTGGTTGTATGAACGCACATACACACATGCGATATAAGAAAACTGGCCTGGCGGATGGATAAAAAAACAAATGTGGCCAAAAGATTATTCTTTTCTATAATCTCTCTGGAGGCTAATTGACCATCGTTCGGACTAGTTCGAACCTTTTTGGTGTCACCAGGAAGAAATTATTAGCGGTGCGCACAAACATTTCTTATTGCCTTGCACGGCATAATGTAATATATAATAAGAACAAACGAATATCGGTATGTTCATTCATACTCATTCGTGATTATAAAGCGCGCGCGATTATTGCGCGCATTGAAATTGGTTGAAACTGATACTATTGCGCCGATTCTTCTCGTGTACTTTCGACGCTCAGGTAAAACAAGCAAATTGGTTACATGTAGAAAAAGTGCGTCCTATCGCCCTGTGTTGTTTATATTCTTGTTTTATGAATTGTTTTTTGCACGTTTGCAATTTTCAAGACGAAGGATAGTTGCGTATTTTGCTGCCTCAGCATAACATCATATCCAGCGATATCTCACTAACGGGAATCTAACCATAAAACAGTGAGTTTTACAAAAGATTTAAATAAATGATTTAATAAACGTAGTCATCATCATTTATCAATAAATTCATAATATAAGTTTTTAAAACTTATTGGAACTTCCGTTTCCTTTACGTTTCCACAATGTCAAATTATGAAACAAGAAATTATGCTTTTTTTTTCTCTTGAGATTAAAATAAAGTAATGGCATTTTTTATTGCAATGAGCTCTGAGAGTAATTAATTATATGTATAATCTACTTTGGGTTACTAGAATTTATGATCAAACATATAATTATATTCTATATTATATATTTAGCTGCTTAACATTTTAGAAAGATATATTGAAGATATAATTACATGAAACAGTGAAAATATAATTATTTAATATAAAAATTATTTTAAGTATAGTAAGTCTATTAATAATTTAATATTTTATATTTTTTTTCTTTACATAATTTGAATCAAACTTGAGTTTATGGTACATATTCAGTTTAATTGCTCTTGAATCGATTCAAACTCAAAAATGCTATAATTTTTATGATTATAAATTAAATAATACAAGAAATTGAATAAGCTGTTCTTACTAGCTCATGAATCTTGAACAATTATACATTTATAAAGTTGAATTTACATTATAAATTTTGAATTATATATAATATATTTATTTGAGATAATAAATTTGATATAATTTTGTTATGATATTTATTAAATTATTTAATAGAAATTATAAAAAAGTTAATTTATTTGATACGTCAATTTTAAAAAAACACAATGAGAAATAAATGAGAGATTTATTAAAATTGAGAGAAAGTTAATATTCTTTTATGATAATACTTCTATATCACAATTTTTTTTCTCAATCTTAGAATTTTTTTTAAAGTTCTCTATATTATATGCTAAATATTATTTGTACATTTTAGAATATATTTAGCTTTGAATACAAAAAACTCCATTATTTTCAACAATGAGTGGATGGGAAAGTAATAGAACGTCAGTAAGGAGATATGATCGAGGCTATGATCACAGAAGAGAAAATAGGAGGGAAAGAGACAGTCAATTTTATAGACGTTCTAATAGATCATTTGGAGATAATTGGAATAATGATTCAAATACACAAAACTATCATGACAATTCATATAGAAAGAATAATGAAAATTTGGACGATGCAAATGAACTTGTTATGTACATTGATACCAACAATATTGGAAGACTTATTGGAAGAGGAGGTAGCAAAATTAAAGCTCTACAAGAAGAAAGCAATGCTATGATTAATGTAAATAAACATTATAAGCTTAATCAATATAATAAAATTATAGAGTTAAATATAATTCATTATATATTATTTCATAACTGATTTCTTTTTACTTTCATTTAGATTGACAAACAGTGTGCTGAAAATGGACAGACTCCTGTAAGGCTAACCGGTACGGATGAAGCGCGACAACGAGCTAAAAGTTTAATAGAGGAATTATTTGATAATGTGCAAGAAAATACAGAAATTGCGCAAAGAATGAAACCTGAGGAGAAAAAGGAAGAAATTGATTGGCGCAATTTCGATTGGGGCAAGGCTAATGAAGAATATGTATGTTGTGTATACAATAATGAAAAATGGATTATTTTATAATATAATATATAAGTATAATAACAAATATAATTTTTAAAACGATAATTTTTTCGGTAGGAGGAACGTCAGAAGCAAAAGTGGGCAACTTTGCCTCCAATTATAAAAAATTTTTATAAGGAAGATTCAGATGTTGCTAATATGTCGAAGACAAAAGTAGCTTATATTAGAAAAAGTAATAATAATATAGAAGTTAAGCATGTTTTCGAAAATGAAGGAGGCTCCGATGAAGAAATAAAAATACCAAATCCTATCGAAACTTTCGAACAAGCTTTTCAGGTAATGTAGTCATTAACCAATAACTCAAATTATTTATGATTTTAGCACAATTGTTTAAACGTGATATTTATATTACAGGAATATCCAGATATCCTTAAAGAAATACGAAAACAAGGATTTGAAAAACCAAGTCCTATACAATGTCAAGCATGGCCTATTCTTCTGAATGGTCAAGATCTCATTGGAATAGCGCAAACTGGAACAGGTGCAATTTTTATTTTTGTGATTTATGTACAATTATAGAAGAACAATTGTGCGATTTCAAGAAGATATTTATTTTGTATCTATTAGCTTTAAAAAATTTTGTTAATATTATATACTGAAATCATAATCACATAAATTTTTAAATTAATATTTTTGTTTTAAAGATCTTAAATACTATAATTTATGTTGAATTTTATAACGAGTACTACATTGTTATTGTGATTATTATTATTATTCCAGGTAAAACTCTTGCTTTTCTACTACCTGCCTTGATTCATATTGATGGACAAGTAACTCCACGTGAGGAGCGTACTGGGCCAAATGTGCTCGTTATGGCACCGACAAGAGAATTAGCACTACAGATTGAAAAAGAAGTAGGAAAGTATTCTTATCACGGCATTAAAGCGTAAGTATAATGTATCTTGCATTTATTTTTTCATATATATTATATAAAACGTGATCTTTAATATTTCTTAATTCAATATTATTTAAGGGTATGTGTATATGGTGGTGGAAATCGCAAGGCTCAAATCAATACTGTAACGAAGGGTGTGCAGATAGTAATTGCAACTCCTGGAAGATTAAACGACTTGGTTCAAGCAGGTGTATTAGATGTATCAGCTGTAACGTATCTTATACTTGACGAAGCAGATCGTATGCTGGACATGGGTTTTGAACCACAAATTCGTAAGACTCTCTTGGGTGTGCGACCAGATAGACAAACTGTTATGACAAGGTAAATATTTATTATTTAAAGTTTCTATTAAAAATTATAAAATATTAAAATAGAATTCTTTGAAAGAAAAACAGTTATAATTTTTTTTGGTCATTTATTTTTTCTTCAATTTTTATGTAAAATTTATTATATAAATTGGTTCTCTCTCTTTAAAAATAATAGATCATTTATTCCTATACTTCCAAAATATGATGATCTCTCTGTAAAAATCCAGGTGTAATACTGCATATAATAAATATTAATATAATACTTATCCTTTTTTGGTCAGCGCTACATGGCCTCAGGGTGTAAGACGTTTAGCTCAATCATATATGAAAAATCCGCTTCAAGTATTTGTCGGATCACTTGATTTAGCAGCTGTCCATTCTGTAACACAAAGGATCTATTTAATTAATGAAGATGAAAAAATAGAGATGGTTAGTAGTATCTTGAATTGAAAACAGTATTTAAGAAGCTTATTCTATAAATATTTTCAGCAATTAAATTATCTTTCTTTAGATGAAATAACAATAGGATAAACAATCTTTATAAAGTTTTGCATTAATTTTTCTTATATACTTTTAAAAAATAATTTTCGAACAATATCCTTTCTAATTTTTTATAAATGTCTTTTTTATATATCAAGATAAAATCTATAGAATATTTATAAAATAAATGGATAATAGGAACTATAAGATATCTTAGAAATTAGCGTTATTATATTATATTACAACATGTAGATGCATCAGTTCTTCCAAGAGATGGGTCCAAATGATAAGGCGATAGTATTTTTCGGTAAAAAATCAAAAGTGGATGATATATCCAGTGATTTGGCATTGTCGAACATCGATTGTCAGAGCATTCATGGTGACAGAGATCAAATGGATAGGGAACAAGCATTGGAAGATCTGAAGAAAGGAGCCGTGCAGATTCTCCTCGCGACCGATGTGGCTAGTCGAGGAATCGATATTGAAGATATTACGTAAGTTTCAAATATGAAATATGTTATTCAAGATATGATGAGACTTTTGCTCCCTGGTACATTTTAGGCACGTATTGAATTATGATTTCCCACGGGATATAGAGGAATACGTTCACAGAGTCGGACGTACTGGACGAGCAGGTCGAACAGGCGAAAGTATTACTTTCATGACTAGACAAGATTGGCATAATGCCAAAGCACTAATTGATATCCTTGAAGAAGCTAATCAAGTTAGTAAATATATATAAAAATTCTTCATAATTTTTTATAAATAAGTTCAACCAACTTGTGCTTCTATTTCAGGAAGTACCTGAAGAACTATATAAAATGGCTGAGAGATATGAAATATGGAAGAAGAAAAAAGAATCAGAACAATCATTTGTTAGAGGTAGCAGGTATGGTAACAGCAATAGACGTGGTAATAATCGTTGGTAACTTAAAATTGACTAATTAATGGCGCTTAGAATAGTTTTACATTGTGTTTGATACAATTTGTACCTGATTAGCACGTTGTAATACTATTTTTATATGATCTCAACGAGATTAATTTCGTAGGAATACAGTATTCCTTTTCTCATTTTCTGTTATATAGTTATATAGTTACCAAAGTTAATTAATATGTGTGGATTTAAAATTAAGATTTCAAATATCTTCATGAGATATTGATCCTAAAATATGCTTGCATGCAATATAGAATATTGACAAGATATCATCAGTGATATATTGGTGATGTTTAACTTTACATTGTTATAATTATCAATGGCGAAGTACAATTACAATTTATCTTATGTTACACTATTCAAAATATACTAATTACAAAATAGATATAGTTTATAAGTTTTCCATCCAAGTTTACATACTAGATACTTTTTGTATTTGTTTAAAACATGTACAGTATTCATGACATTTGAATTTGATTTGATTATGATGAATATATAATGAATATTTTTTTTATTTAATCAAGTTTACCTTTATCCTATTTATTAGATCATTTCAAATATATAACACATATTTCACAATAGCCAGCTATAAAATATATTATTCATATATCATATACAAGAAATATAAAAGTGAATAGGGAAGATGTATTAATTAAGAATGAGATTACTAAGTGTGTTCACTTCGAGAACAATATTAATAATTTTACAATATTATTATTTTATCTAAGTTGTAAATCTCTCAAAACAATTCCATGTATTTGTATCAAATTTTATCGACTGTGTATCTTATATTCGTACTTTTTGATAAATTTACTATTATAAAAGAACTCTCTTATTAAATTTAAGCTTATACAGTAAAATAGTAAACAACAGTAAATTTAAACGAAAGAGATATTTGTTAAAATTAATTTATAAAGTTAATTTATAAAAAAAATAATTTTTTTATCGATATCTGTAGTAGATTTTGTAAAAATATAATTATATAGCAAATCAAAATACAACAAAAATGAGAAATAAAATGTAGTAAGTAAATATTAACAACTCGAAAACTATTTGGAAACAAAAATGAATTTTGGAATTTGAATGGAACGAGAATTCAGTTGTAAACCTTGAAGCTTCGCGTTTTCGTGTACTTCTCGGCAAAGATCTTGCCACCTGGAGTCGGTATTGAAAACGCTATGTCATCCATCGACATCACGTAACCATAAAAGAATTTAGTTCTGAAATGCATGAACAAGAAGTTGTTTAATCTTTGAAGAAAAATTAATATGTGCATAATATTAACAATGTTTACCTCAAAGTATCAACAAGTTTAGTGGCTATACCCTGTTTGCGATGACTCATCGCAGTCCAAACAACATTTATGCCGCATTTCGTAGGTGTACTCTCATCGGTGCAACAGTTGAGTTCGATTAGCTCGGGAATTATGCGAAATGCTTTTTCAATATGTTCTGCCACCAGTACTCCGAGAATCGTTTTTTCACGTATATACAGAAAGATCTACAAGACATCTTTTTGTTATCAAATTATTATATAATTGAATTTGACATTTAATACATACACACACATACATAAGTTCTGTATGTATGTGAGTATATACTTGCGTTTTTGTTCTGATATTCTGAAATATTCATATCTGTTAATCCCAAGTCTCTATCTACAACAGTTAAAATCTCCAATACTTTCTTCCAATGTTGTTTAGGATCATGTGGCTCGATTAAGATTATTCTGCTAGACGTGAAAGGATCCTCTGATATAACACGTTCGTTTTTCCATCCCTGAAATACCGTACATAATAAAGAGTTAAATATCATATTTTTATAGTAATGCGATATTTATTTCAAAAAGATACAGATACAAACTCACCTGAAATTTTAAAATTCGTATGCTGTTGTGATAATTCAAGTGAGCGTTTTCATCCTCAGGATTGCCCAGTTGATAGACAACATTACATTCCTGACACTGAGTAGCGCCGAAATGTTTCTGACCAGCATCTAACTGATACTGATCTTCCGCACCACCACCTTTCGCAGACAACTGCCACTGCATACTTTTTTTTGTTGCTTTTGTTGTATTCGCATTATTTGTCTCTCTAAAATTGAAATTAAAATATATATCTTATTAAAATAAATTGAGAATACATCTTCTACGATATCTGGTGCAAAATTTTCCAAAGGACAAAAAAATTAATACGAAGTAAAAATAAAAAATTAATATAAAAAAATGATAAAAATAATTCTTAATAATATAAAAATTAATAATTTCCAAGAATAATATAAGATATTTGTGTGTGTGTGTGTGTGTGTATAAGTAAACATACAATTTTATATAAATTAAGTGAAATTTTATAAATAAATAAAAAAAGATTTGAAATATATAATTCGAAAACATACTCGAAAATGTTATCAGGTACAGAATATCCTTTTGTAAACAATGGAAAATATTTTTTCTTAGCATTTTCTTTTTCAGTTTCCTTTTTGTTATTATTCGTGTTATCAAGTGAAAGATTTTGAAAACTTTTCAATGGAGCATCTTTGATGTTCATCGTCGAAGTCATGTTGCTAAGTTCAGTAGCTGGAGACATAATCATATCTTTCGACAATATCTTCGTCGTCGTTGATTTTAATGGAGAAACAGCGTTCACTGTGTCAGTCAATGTTCCCATAGTATCATAATCGTCATTCGACCAATCATCCTCCAGAATTTTCAGAAGATCATCAACTTTGTCTTGCTGTAACAAAGTTTCAACCTCTGGTTCATCGACAGTCAAATCAGTGGCATCCAAAGGGACATCCACGGGACTTGACTTTTGCTTATGATCTTTCTTCGTAGAGGGAATACGTTTCTGATTTTGATTTTCTTTCAATATAATTTTACCATCTGTGACCTTTAATTTAATCTTGTTATTTACCGTCACTGTAGCAGCGTGATTTAATCTGATAGTTCTATTAGTTTTGAAAAATCGCTTAGTCTCGTCAATCATTGGTGAGAGTGGTTTCTCTACAATTGTGTTCATTTTCATTGACAGCGCTTCTTCCATAGACGAGCTCTTGTTCGTCGAAGGTGCAAGATTTTGTTGTTCCTTCTTTTTTAACGTTTCTATATTCACCTTAGGTTTCGGCTTTTTGATTCCGTGGCACACGCCAGCGTTTATTCTACCATATTTTCGTTTTCTTAATGATGAATGTTTGATATTGCTTTGTGGGGGTAAAGTTCGTCTCCTTTTAACGTCGCTATTTCTAAAGTTGCTAAAGGGTCGTTCGGACTTGATGTTGCCGCTGTAAAACATTTTCGTACTTAATGAAAAATTCTTCAGGCTGCTACATTCGTTTCTCCTTTCCTGAAACAATGATGCTCTCGCTCTAGGAACAGAGGCATCGTCTGCCTTAAACAGCTTCGCTAATTTTGTCGGTTTTCCTGCCGACTGATCACGCGCGTGTCTTTTCAATGTATTCTCCTTTTGTTCCGGTGAGAAATCTTTGCTTATTTCAATGCTAAATTTCCGCTTGTGTAACTTCGGCAATGGGACTGTTTTACTTATGGAGATTGATGGCGTTATCTGTCTCTCGGGAGTTCTTCCCTTTCGAGGTGTTTCCGTGATATTTTGGTTCTGTATTTCTGTAGCAAAGTTTCGTTGAGGTGTCTCTGGTATTATCTCATTTGTTTGCTCCACAATCTTTGTCAAATGTTGTGGCATCAATGGTTCCACATTCTTATTTGGAGTAGCCGGTAGCGATTTTGATGAGCGGTCATTGAATAACTTACATCTTGGAGAATATCTGGCAGCTTTGGTGACCATCTTAAGTGCTGTAAAGGGCGACATATGTTCTTGCATGTTAAACCTTAGACGATCCCAAGATAAAGATGGGCTATAAGTGAGCGATTTTTCAGGTGTTGCAAATGGAGAAATAAATTCTCTGCCTGAAGAGCTAAGACTCGAATTGCTGAGACTTGGACTTTGATCAGTGAGAGCTAGAGGTGACATAGGTCCCAAATCTGAATCTTCTGAAGATTCTTTGTTGTCTTCAATTTGCTCTACACTTGGAATAATAGTTCTTTTGTCAGATTTATCATTGGATGTTGCAAAAAGACATTTTTGTGCTCGTCGTGGAGTACAAAGTAACATTCCTTGATCATCATCTATCGACATTTTTAAGTAAATTATTAAAATTGCAATCTGAAAAATATATTCAAATAAATATAAGGTTTTAGTATTAAAAACTACTAAATTAAAATTTCATTCTATCAAAGATTGATAGATCTTACAATTATTAACAATTTGAAAAAAAAAGAAAAACGTAAAAGAGAATTTGTATAAAATTCTGTAACATATATAATATTCTATTTACGAAATTGCCATAGTTGGAAAGAAAATCAACGTGTAAATTACATTGTATAAATGTTTCTAGATTGTAATAAACTAACCTGAAACGAACCGACAATTTTATAGTGACTCAGACAAATGCGTCAAAACTGCTAACAATTGATGAAGTGACGTTCAACGTGCAAATGTTAATACTCCCCGAGAAATACTTAAAATCAGCGTATCTATCACATAAGTTTACATTTACAAATTATGTAAGCAGAAGCGCGGGAAACAATCAGAAGCTTAAATGTTTTTATCACAACGGCTGCGCAATGTGTTGTTTGCGTATTACGATCACACGCATGCGCCGATTTTCGCTATCTCTGATTGGCGGGATGCGATCAAAAGATTTGTTCACATTACTTGCATCAAAGGGTGCGTTCCTTTATTCCCTCCGAGTACTGTCAGTACTACGAATAACGTTCCGATATAGAGAGTAGTGCACTCCAAAAGTACTGCCTTGAATTCTATGACGTCATTGATTTTGACGTACTTCCTGTTGCGGCTACTGCACCAGTGAGGTAAAGCAGTTAGAACACAAAAATGGCTGCTTCCATGGAGACTAAAATAACCTTGATTGATGCTGAAGAAAATAAAGTATATAATATGAAATAATATAATATAATGAAATTATTATGATATTATATAATATTATGAAATTATTTATTATTATTATTTTATTATTATTATTATTATTAATATTAATATTATTATTAATTTTTTTATTATTATTAATTATTTTATATATATTATATTTAATATATATAATAAAATTATATTTTTTTTAATATTACATATGCCAGTCATTTTCAGTTGGAGTTTGAAAACGTACTGCAACTGCGTTCCGTTTTATAATCTTGAAGTTAGAAAGCGCACGAAACTAAAACAGAACGATAGCTGCAGTACACTTCCATTACGTCATAGCATGAGTACTCGGAATAAATAAGGAACGCACAAAGGAACACTTAGAACACATTTTTAGATTTAAAAGAATGTACTAATCGAACGCAAGATTTCACTAACTATGGTTGTTAAACCGTTTTAATTCCACGTATAAACGAGAATATGACAGTATTCGAAGTAAATAAAGGAATGCACCCTAAAGCTATGGTCCATTTAGCGCTACAAAAGCTTCGAAGCATTTGATTAACTAATCAATACAAAGAATTTAATTTAATTTATGAATTGAATCAAAAAATGTTTCGAAGCATTTGTAACATCAAGTGAACCCTAAGTGCTGTTCCATGGAGCATATCGCGCGTATCGCGGATCGCACGTATCGAAAATCTGACTAATCGCGGACGTTCCGCTGTTTTCGATATGCGAGAGTTTCGTTTCGTAGTCTCATGACGCGGAATTCGCGTAAGCGAATCAAGCGGATAACCAATCACAAACGATTTTCCTTATTTCCTTTCATCTAAACAGTTTTATAATTGGTAAACCACTGATTTATTTTCTCATTACATACGCTCATTCCGCTTCATGGAACCAAGGAACAAAACTCTCACGTACCGAAAACAGCAGAAAGTTTGTGATAGAAACAAATCTGACCTCTGCGCAGTCATTTCTTTATTTTTGATAGATTTGCTAAAGAGAATCACGTAAGCATTAATTAAAATTACTTAATTATTTGTAAAACCTGTGCGAAATACATTCATTCCATGGTGGGACCATAG